TTATAACTAAAAAATAAAAAGCGAATTCTTTAAGAAGACAATTGCTTATACCCTACCAAGACTATAACTAAGAAATAAAAAACGAATTCTTTAAGAAGACAATTGCTTGTACCCTACCAAGACTATAATTAAAAAATAAAAAGCGAATTCTTCAAGAACACAATTGCTTGTACCCTACCAAGACTATAACTAAAAAATAAAAAACGAATTCTTTAAGAAGACAATTGCTTGTACCTTACCAAGACTATAACTAAGAAATAAAAAACGAATTCTTTAAGAAGACAATTGCTTGTACCCTACCAAGACTATAACTAAAAAATAAAAAACGAATTCTTTAAGAAGACAATTGCTTGTACCCTACCAAGACTACAACTAAAAAACTAAAAAATTAAAAACGAATTCTTTAAGAAGACAATTGCTTGTACCCTACCAAGGCTATAACTAAAAAATAAAAAACGAATTCTTTAAGAAGACAATTGCTTGTACCCTACCAAGACTATAACTAAAAAATAAAAAACGAATTCTTTAAGAAGACAATTGTTTGTACCCTACCAAGACTCGACCAAGTTGTAATCTTAAGGATCATAACGGGTCAAGTAAAACTTACTCATCAGTATCTCCTCAACAAAGAAGATCTTCCAATTTGTAATTTGTGCAAAGTCCAATTGATAGTGCAGGAAATATACCGTTAACAGAGATCAACTTATCAAATATAAATCCTTCTCTGAATGATAAGGAGCAAAGAATCAGTCCTAAAACTAATACCAAAGTTTTTAAGTTTACAGTCTGAATTTTATAATAAGTTGCAAGATTTAACTCCAGGTCATTAAATAACGCATACAAATGGTTGATGCGGCTAAATAATGAAAATAGAAAAAAAAAAACTTTTGTCCAAAACATTTTTTAAAACAAAACAAGAAGATAATAAAATTTCAAAACAAAGAAATAATAAAAAAAGAGTGAGATTCGTTGGATACTTTGTTCTCAAAAAAAAAAAAAATTGTTCGAAAGTTTATCATGTTCGCAATTTTGTAATTCCGTTCGAAAGGGAAAGAACAATACTTTGCAACTCGAAATTGTCTACTTTGAATAAATCCCAAGACAAGAATCGCACTACAAGAACTAGAATTGGAACTGGAATTTAGTTTCATGAGATGTAAGATCATCTTTTGTAAGTTTATCGTAGAGAGAGAGAGAGAGAGAGAGAGAGAGAGAGAGAGAAGGGATCAGGATAAG